TGCTAAGAGGCCACACTGAAAAATGGTCTCTTAAAACTGTATCTGAAACCTGTAGGACAACTTCTATTGTTTAACTGCAGCTCTTGTATGAATCAAACTTGGTGCCACACGCAAGATTCTAGGGCACTGAAAGCTTATTTTAGTCTTTGTTTGAAATAATTACACCATACATCATTGATCTGAGTAGCTGGTGATTAATTCTAATTTCAATTGCAGTTAGAAAAGACTAAATTTACAGCAACACTCAAGTGATTTAAAAGACACTAAAGGCAAGTGTCAAGCTAGAATTTTAGAGTTCATTCCAAAGAGGGAAGAAACAACAGTCACTGAATTACATAATTTGACAGAAATAAGAAATGAATAAAGCAATGAATAAATTTACCAACCTTCAGGTCCACAAACTTCTGGATTACTAATGCAAGAATTTTGATAGCTTCCAAAGAAGAGAAAGGTAACTCCTTTCTTTTCAGTGACGTAAATTCCTTTGTTCACCATTCCTTCTACAATATCTAAAGGAAAAGCAAAATATAGTTTAATATTTGTATAACTCAAAACTTTCCGGAAACATGATTTTAATAGACTCATATACCTCATATGTTTATCCAGTCCCAACTATAGGTTTACTTTTGTTGGGGGATTTTTTTTTTTTGGTTGGTTGAGGTTTTTTGTTCTGTTTTGGTTTTGTTTGAGTTTGATGGGGCTTTATTTGTTGGTAGTTTGTAGGGTTTGGTTTTTTTCTAGACCCATACAGATAACTCTCATTCCATATCTTCCCCTCTTTGAGGAAGAAGTCAACAAGTTTTGTCTCCGAGAGATAAAATTTGGTTTCTTTTAAAAATTTGAGCATGTATCAGACAATGAAGCAAACATTTCTTGAGCCACTTGAATTCTAAGTTCATCTAGCCAGATTTAGTTGTAAGGTAACGCATTTCTGTTTCCATAGTATTTCCCTTGCCCTTGACGTCACTCTTTTTAATGTTCATACTGAGTATATCTTATTATGTGTGAACTATGCAAATGGCCTATAAAGCAGATAAGAAAGCAGTGAATGGAATTAGGGTTATTTGAAGTTCATTATTAACAGAGTTCACATTTGCTAGCATACTTTTACTATTAGAAAGTAAAAAAATAATTTGTTTATCATTCGAATACAAAACTCCTAGTATCTGAGCAGCCCTAATAACAGTTTTATCATTTCCATACTTCTCCTTAGGTCAGATTTTCCAAGAACTAAACCAGAGTGAGTTAAAACCTAATTGTGAAGTGGACACTTGCACATACACAAGAATGAATGCTTGTGACTTAAACTAAATGGCTAAGCTTATGCTTGTGTAGATGTAGCTAGTTTCCAATCATCAGGTTTCTGCCTGGAGAGTTGTCATTTTCTGTTCTTCCTTTTATCTCCTGGTGTGTTGATGTAAAGAAAAGGAAAAAAACATTAAAAGGACGTATCTATGCAGATTGCTGCTAGCCTTAAACACAAAACCAAACTAAAAAACCTAATCATATTAATCAAAGATGTCATGGTTGACAAAATCTTACTTCCTGGCTTTGCAAATTTGCTTGCTTTTGTCTTTTCTTAATGTATCCTTTAAAAATTATCAAGAAATCGTGAAAAACGGATAACTTCTTTTTCCTTTAAACCTTGAAAGACAAGCAAAAAGAAAATCACCCTATTGTTCTTTATGTTCCTCTGAAATGTAATCTCTGTTTATTTTAAGTGTAACACAGATATTACCAGTTTTGGAGGACCACTGGGGCCCACTCTCCCATGGGCTAATGCTTAGCATGAGGATGTCTCTCCCAGGAATTCCGAGTAATTCAGGTAACATTGCAGGTGTGCTTTTTCAGTAACTTATGATAATGTAAGCATAAACGAACCTTTACCACATGACCACCTGAATCAAAACTCAGTGTTTAACTCTGAATCCAATGTTACAAGAACCATCCAAGCTTGACAAATGCAGAACAAAAAATACGTAAATCCTCACCTACAGTTGCAGAGAAGTTAGAGTAGGCAGAGTCATTGGTATATACAAAGGTAGAGTTATGGGAAGGAAGCACAGTGAAGTTGTGGATTCTTAGAGCTGGGTGGAACAACAAAAGAAAATAAGCAAATAAGCAAAACAATGAATAAACACAATCAGTAATGAATTGACCAGTTCATATCTCTCAACATATAGATGTTGATCAGTGGCCTTTAAAATTATCATGCAAGCACTTCTCCTGAGGACTTGCATGCTTGTGAATGTCACATTCTTTAACTACCCAAGGTAAGTAAAGAAATACAGTATCAGTTAAACATTTTTTTCCTTACTAAAAAAAACAAAAAAAAACCAAAACCAAACAACCCACCAAAACTGAGAAGAAAAACTATTGAGAAGTACAACTGCTGATGAAGGGCTCTGAAATATCATCATGTCGGTAAGGAACTCTAATTATAACAAAAATCATTATACTGGCGCGAAAGCTAAGGGCAATTCAAGTCCCATGTCCAGTTCTCGGCTCCCCAGTACAAGAGAGACATGGACTTACTGAAGCAAGTCCAGTGAAAGGCTGAGAATGCTGGCACTGCTCAGCCTGGAGATGAGTGGGCTCAGGGACCTTATCAATGTGTATAAACACACAACAGCACTAAAGATAGTGCCAGCCTCTCCTTAGTTGTATACAGTGAACAGATAAGAGGCAATGGGCACAAGTCAAAATATGAGAAATTCCATCTAAACATAAGGAAAAAACTGAACTGTTTCATGTCTGACAATAAAATTTTCTTCTCATTTTGATAATTTAACATTGCCCACTGTAATTATTTACCCTGGGCAGGCAAAGAGAACTTGAGGGAATGCCCATGGAAGTAAATAGACATTGATTTGGGATTTAAACCAGCTGAGCTCATAGAAGAGAGGCAAATGCTCTTAAAAGAAAAATTCATGCAAATACCTCAAGATAAAAATACATGGAAAACAAGGGGTCAGATGAGAAACCAGAACACAGCCACATCTTTTTTGTTTGCTATATTTTAAGTTGATTGTTTCCCTTCAATTGCTTCTACTGCTGAGATAATAAAATTAATTTGCTGACACTCTGACAACACAAATGCTTTGAGAGATATAAATCTGGCTTCACACACAATGACTTCAACAAATAAAATGGATTAACATGACGGACAGATTATGATGCTTCAAGGATTTAAGAGGAGAAACATGGAATGAAAATAACTGCATGATGTGATGAGTGGAAAAACAAGGCAGGCTCTAGCAATAAACAGAAGAGTTGTGTAATCAGAATGGTATCAAAAACAAGCAAATTGTCACCTGCATTAAATTACTACAAGAAAACTTTTCTAGTATATCAAAGACAAACCTCAGATAGCTACATAAGAACTCTGCTGGAGGCAGCTGAAATAATATCTGTGTATTATAAGACATAATATAAGCAACTGACAAATATGAACTATCCAGTACAACACTAAAGAAAAAAATCAACACTGTCAGAGTTGCTCTGCACAGAATGAGACTTTTTGCTCCTGGCATCCTTTGCCAACAATAGTAAGACAAAGTCCTCCAAACATTTTTTCAGCGAAGTCATGCAGCTGGCTCCTTGTAAAGTTTTTCAACACAATGTCATAATAGGAGTCAAAGCAGACTACTCATGTGAGCCAGTCCCATTCCTGTAAGTGAAGGTTTGTAGGATCAGGAACTTACTATGTTCTGCTCTATCTTTTCCAAAATACTACTGAAAATATTTCTGAATTTTGCTTAAGTAATGTAATTTAACATAATTTGAAAAATAATCTAACATTAATTGTCAATTGCTCTATTTTATAGCAATTGTGCTCTTTCAAGCACTTTCAAAAATAACTTTGTTGTAACACGACTGCTAAAACAGTGCTAGATATGGAGTGCTTTAATCTTCTTGAAACTACAGTGTCAGAAAGTTACTTTAATACACTGTTCAAGAACTCACATGGTAACTTTTTGTAAGCCAAATTATGATTCTACTGAAGTCAATAGGAATGCTGCCATCAGCCTCCAACAGGAGCAGAATATTGCCCAGATTTATTTCTGGTGAGCCAATTTCATTCCTTTAAGAAGTTTTGTGGCAAGATGGGTCAAAGTTTAAGCTTACAATACATGGATCTTTTTCTCCACTTAGGAACAGGGATTGATATTACCATTTTTGCATAATAAATAACAATAACTTCACAATTTTGTTAACATCTTTCATGTAAGGTTATAAACGTCTCTAACTCCAGACTTAATCTTCTGCATCTTTCTGGGTAAAGATATTACAGTCACCAGTAGTAGCCCAGCAGCTACCCCTTGTAAAAGTACAAAACTGTGTAGCTCAACTTCCAAAGGTGGTAGCCATAGTGTGATAAATACTGGGGAATATACATCAACCCAACTTGGAACTGGCTAAAATGACTTTCAAATCAGTAAGAGTTTTGCCTTACCAAAACTATCTTTATTTTCATTGACTGGAAAAAAAAAATTAAAAATTAAACTAATGCTGCAATACTGCTTTTAAGGGAACACCCAAAAGCAGATAGAAGTGAGTCGACACATACATAAGAACTTAAACTTCTCTTTCTGTAGATGCTACATGGAATTTTCAAATTGCATGAAGAACTTGGGCACTTCACTCCTTCCAGAAAGCAAAAAGAAGCAGGCACTTCACTGCCAGCATAGCCAGCTATCCCAGTCACTGAGTGTATTAGCATGTACCAAAGCAACCAGTAACTGTGATTTCAATGACTCTTTGGATCATAAACCTTTTCTCTTTATAACCTTAACAATGTGTAGACAGCCCATAAAACATCTGAGAATACTCTATAAAAATCAGCTCACAAATACATTATCATTTGGACATTGGAGCACTGCAAAAACATTAAATGAAAAAAATCCCTACTGCTGTGGTACAAAAGCTAACCTCCTTCATTTCTTCTGCTTCCTTTCTACTTACAGACTGCCACAAATACTTATGTTACTGCTCTTGTCAACGAATCCTTTATCTACCTCCATTTGTATCCCGAAATTCGTGAATTCCATCCACATCTTCCAATGGCCAGTAATGGGAAGCTGATGCGAGAACTTTGAACCCTTCCAAGAAACACAAATGAAAAGGTTATTAAAGTAAGGACTAACAAGGAGTGTAGTAAGTCACTACAGAAGAAAGCAATAAAGGAAGTCAATAGGTTAACCAAGATATTTTATGTAAATCAAGTCCAGCACACAAGCAAGATGATAAATCAAATAAAAATGGCAGAGTAGATTAAAACCATCTGATTGATCACTGCAGAAAACCTGTTTTTAAAGCTCAACTGACTTTTATTTTAACTGCACTTAAAATGTGCAACAATCTCTGATTAAAACCCTGTTACTGTACCAGACTGCATTTGTTGAAGTAACAGTCAAGAAAGTCATTCAAGACTAATTCCAAAATATTACTGATAGTTCTAAACACGCTGTAGATAGTACGAAGCGCTGAGAAGGGAAAGCATGGGGAAATATTTAGCTTCCATAGCATACTACTACTGCTCCTGCCTCCTCCATAGGTAACTCAGCTCTCTGTGGTTCACGGGAATAGGAAAAGATACTAGAGAATTCCCAGGAATTTTCATTCCTAAACAATATCTAACAAATTATTCATAATTGACCAGGATCTATTACTGGCCTACCTGACTAGAAATGCTTGCAGTTGTCAAAGAGGTTTTCCCACAGAGAAGGAAGCATAAATAGGTAAGATGGGGATGTCTTTAGAGAAATGGATGAGATTCTATGCCTATACTTTTCCTTTAAATATTTGGAAGACACAGAGAAAGGCACAACTGCTAACAAAAGAAGGGTACTGCCAGCATAAGATAATAATGACAGAGTAAGCACATACAAAACCCAATCTAAAAATTCCAGGCAATCCAAACTTAACTAAGCTGAGCGTGACAAAGCATGCCAAGGAAACAGGATCTAGGAACAAGGATTTCTGCATTTACATAAACTAAATCTGGACATGTGCTTAGTTCTACCTTCAAAAAACATAATTCTGGCTGCTGCAAAAGGAAGTTATAAATTTCTATGCTATTAAGAGCATCCACATAGGCTACCTGTGCCAACGTACCTCCATCTGACTTTAATCAAACTACTAGTTCTGCTCTGCAGAGCACAGAACATGCCTGCTGTTTCACAGTGTGCTTATATACAAATATCTCTTGCTCCCATTAACATCTTTATGCATCAAAATAGAAAAAGGATTAAAGTTAAGAGAGGTGGTAGAAAGAAAAAAAAAATTGAGACAAACAGAAATGAAAAATCCAGGGAGAAAATAATTTGCTGCCAAAAAATCTGTCACAATGTGGCACAAAAATTTTATTAGCAGTAGTAGCAGCATCACAACAAAGCCATAGTTGGCATCAAGCTCCTAAGAACCAGCTATATTTTAAGGAGCTTACGTTTAAAAGCTTGAAAACATGGGCAAAAATAATTGGAAGGAAAACAGACATACAGCAAAGTGAATTGCCTAGACCCACACTGCATGTCTCCGGCTTTCCCAGCTCCCAGTTCTGAACTATACAAAGGCACGCTGTTGCCCCACTACCAGCCAATCAGCCCTGAGAAGACCTCTGAAAACAAATACCTGTTCCAAGTATAAGCTTAATTCAAGGCAATATGCCTTCCATAGCTAACTATGCCGTGTTTAGGACAAAACTACAGGACCTGTTTACAAACCAAGTTCCAATCCAGGAAGCATCACTCAGTGACACTTACACATGCACACACACTATACTACAAAATAAGTGTTGTGTAATGTTCTCCCTTACTGCAGGAAGCTTTTTTCCCCCCCATACTGTTTCATCACCTAGAAGCCACTGATCCTCATCTGTAGGAAATGAGACTGTACTTTTTTGTTTTCCAGTGAATCCAGAAGAAACTAATGGATCTGAAGCTACTGCAATAGCATACAACATGGCTTTGCCACATCACAATGTATTTCATTTGAAAATAATTACATATGGTTAAAGCTTAAAGCACGAAGCAATACATGCACTGCTAAAGCAGTAAAATTGTACTTGTACACCACCATGAGGCTTGAGGTTAAACTATTTATATAAAACCAGAAGAATTCTGCAGTTACACATACAGACCCCAAGTAAGCTTTGTGTAAGTTTTTTCTACATCAAAAACATATGAGAGATCCTTATTATGGTCTATAACCAATTTAAACTTAAGCACGAGGACTGGGAAGAGGCGAAATGACTTGAAGCCATGCAGAAATACTGCAAAGTATACAAGCTGGCATATCTAACTCTAAATCATTGAACTGAAAATGCTGAACACACTGAGGGGAGAAAAGAAAACAGGCTGAGTAGAAGTCTGATTCAAAAACTCACGCTGAAAAAAAGTATTAAAACATAAACAGCATATGTTTTCTACCTGTTGAATACAAACCATTTTTCTCCCATTCTGTGCAGAATATTCAGTAGGTAAGTTACTGAATTTAAAATGACTGGTACAGTCTGATACTTTAGACTATGGCATTTTTAATACATAGCTGACATCAAACGTAGGATCACAGTTTCTTTGGAGCTACTAAGAAAAATGAAAAAATAGAAACCAAAAAAGCAAAGAAACATTTAAACACATTGTCATAAAATGGAAATAGAACATTCCTTACCTGGGTGTTTGGGTAACTGGGAATAGTTTCCATACACCTGCACATAAAACATTACATAATGAGAAAGTAAGGCAATATTTGCTAAGAGGAATCCAAATATATCTCAATACTGACCATATTCAGAACATTACCTGGTACTTGTACTGAAATAAAATCAGCAGAGAATAATGACAAGACAGCAGAGATGGTAAGTTCTCCATGGTCTATTTAAAGTAAAAAGTAAAACTGAAATCAAATTCCTGTAAGATTTCAATCACAAGTTTTCCTTTGCCACTTCTTGTATTAAAAGGTACATTTTCCATGAAGTTTCAGAAAGTCCATTCCTTCAGTGATGGCAAAATATCCTTCCAGACCTTTAAGTAGTATTTGTTTGCTTCACACTTTGATCTCTTCATTTAACTCTAAGTAAATTACCGTGATTGGAGGAAAAATTAAAAGAAATGTGCATCAGATCCAAAAGTTGTACTGTTCCATGGAAAAAAGTCAAATATTTCTGTTACAATCTGTGCCAAAAAGAAAATATCTTGTTTTCAACTTTCTTCCTATGGTTGCCTTTTCCTTTCAAACTGCTTTCACGTTGTCAGAGATCTGAAGCCAGTTTTAGTTTTGCGAGCAAGAAAACGTAGTTCCTTATAGCACATGGAGTGTATAACTCTCACTATTCCTCCAAAACTGAGCTGAAAAGAGTTGCTAACTCCTCGCCTGTCCAGCTCACGTTTGCACCTCCATCCCAGATCTTTTTGGGTGGAGAGCAAGTCTGAGTGATGTCATGCTTTCTCCTCAAACTTTGTCCCATTCTGGTACTCTATTTATATCACGTTGCTGCTTTCTCTTTTCTGGGTCCTAACACCAGCCAGCTAGGAACAAGTGGAAACAAATGAATGTGCTTCAGCAAACACATAAGAGAGATTACAGCTCTTAGCAAGCTGCACACTTAAAAAGAATCGAAGGCACAACAAGTGTTCTTAATTCAAACACCTAAGAAAAAGGAAACAGGTTGTGGACAGAGTTCTTGAAGGAAAGCTAAGATATATTTATTAAAACAGATTGTATTTCTGCCTGAAGAAGCATGACTTAAAAAAAAAAAATACTGAATTAAATCACATGGCACTCTAAGGGATTAATTTTACTGTATATGAAGAAGGGGAAACTGAGGCATTAAAGATTTTACTGATTTGCTCAAAGCTGCACAACAAAACTAGTAGAGGAACTAGGAAAATACTTTTATAGTTGCTTTTTATATATAAAAGATTTAAATTATTTTTATAAAAGCCTCCCAGTTACACTCTGTCATAAATATTAGCCATCATTTTACATGGAAAAGAAAAAAAAGCAACTAAAACTTGTGGATAGTCCTCCTTTAATTTGCTCCTTTATGGTAAAATCTTGTTTTCAGTTCCCTCCAAGTTCTATTTTCAGTGAAATAAATGGTAAGAGTAGTATTTTTAACAAAGTTAGATAAGCTTTCCATCCCCCTTCATTTCTCCCCTTTTCTTTATCCTCATACGAGCAATTTCAAGGTGGTGCAGGCAAGATCAGAAACCAAAAATCAGAATCAGACCATGTTAATATCGCAACAAAATTCAAATTATTTTATTTACCTTTGCTTTTGCCAAAAGCTACGTCAATAGATTGGATCTTGTTTTCAGCCCCAGATGCTTACTCACACAGCAAAACATTCTCTGCCTAAAATCAATGGACACATAAGCTCCTGATTATACGAAACGGACCACGATTCCTGCTCCCATGCCTGTCACTGCCCCGCTATGCCTTATCTTCTGATCATTAGTTATCCTTCCCTCACTCCCCATCTATTTTGTGGCTCTTGGCCCCACCTCCCCAGGTACCTCAATTTGCCTGGTTCCTTTTCTTAGCTCTATTCCGTATAGTATATTAGCCCTATTACTTGTCTCCTTCATCACAACTTCTGCACCAAACTCTAGTCAATTATAACTTTTAGGATGAAACAGTTTTACACTGACACTTTACATTGAGATTATACAGTTGGAAGCCCAGCTGGTGGTAGGTGTGTCCCTGACTTACCCAGCTTATCCATACTCTGGATGTACACTGAACTTCTGAAGCTTCTGCTGGTAACTAGCCTTAGTTACCATCTGCATCCTTGCAGATGACTGAGGAGTAGATGGGACTCCAGGGTCCATGGACTAATGCGATAAAAATTAATTGTGGACATTCATGTGGCACATAAATGTTTCAATGCTACCAAAAGTTTAATATTACAAAATTGTGAATTTCAATTCCTTAAAAAATATAGTTTCCCCATGTAGTTTAAACCAGTCATTTCTGTTCATTTCTCTCTAGGTTTCTGTTCATTGTTCATTTCTCTCTAGGTTTTTTGACTCCTTTTCTCATTACTGTTGGCCACAAACTCTTCTATACCCTGAAAGAAAAGGAGGAATTCTGTGTAAATCTGAGGAATTCTGCTTCATGTACTGACAAGTAGAGCCACCCTTAGAAATAACAGAGCTACAACTAAAAGTCCAGAGAAAAGCTAAAATGTAGAAAGAAAAAGACAGGAATTTGAAATATTTGCCAAGAGAGGCCTGTCAAGGGAAAGAATATGCTTACCAAAACAATTGTGAGAATCCAAGCAAACATCTACACTGCCAAAAATTTCTGTGGAAACAGCAAATCACAAGCAGACATTGGAAATTATTTGCAGATACAAATTCTGCATTTATTCCTGTGATCCTCTGGAAACCTGAACTGAAAAGTCACACTGCTCCCACCACAGACCAGAGGCAGCAGTGGGCATCTGGCACGCAAACAGTAACTGATCCAACGCTTGGAAGACAAACAATCACAGTAGATTGCTCTTCAAGAACCTGCAGATAAAATGATGTTCATTAAAAGTACTTGCATGTCAATAAAGGCACAAAGGTCTGCATGTGCTGGCTAACTGGGCAGCTCACACTAAGACTGCTGGATACTTTCTCCCAAGCACAGCTCTCCCACCCTGCTGCCCTGCTAAGGGTCAGGAAGGAGAAAGCTGTGACCCCGTGTTGCAGTGCTGGGGGTCCACTGAAAGGCTCTAGATTTTTCAGTCCGACTTAAGCAGAGAGCAGAAAAAAGGCCAGGGAGGAAATGCTCTGCAGCTCAGACATTTGCCAACAGATAGAATGAGTTCCCTATACACAACAGAAAGCCTGATGATGTGTAGCAACAATCACAGGCTTGCAAACAGCACTGGGAAATAATGTGCCCCAGCTTTCTCTCTCTCCATACCCCCCCTCCCCCCTTACCTTTTGCTTTTTTGGTGGAATGGGGGTGTTTCAAAGACAAAGGTTTAACAAGAAAAGCAGCTCAGTTGTTATACTGTGGTGATGCTGGTTGCAACACTTTCACAGCAATATGAGTGTGATCTACCATGCAAAAATTAAACTCTTCAGTTCCATTTGCAGCTTTCTGTGTTCACCTCATATTTATTCAGGATGATTGTATTATTGAAACAGAAAAATCAGCAAATGCTGTAGCTGACATTTGCCAGGAAACAAAAAATAACCTGAAGTTAAAAATCTTTATTGCTAACTATGTAAATACAAGCAGAGAGAACAATCCTTTAAAGACTGCTTTATACTAGAGAACGCAAACAACCTGTAATACTGTTTTCTTCCTTTGTTTTCATTGGAATGATTAACTTTCCACAAGAGAGCTGGTGCATAATTGGGACTGAAATGTTTTAATAAACATCTTAGAAAGGAGTTACTTTAAGAATAAATACTAACTAGATTTTGTAAAACTTCTCTAATGTCAGTCTCTACTAATAAATCAATAAATATCGTGGATTTGAATAACTCCGCAGTCAATCTGTTTCTTCGTCAGTAATTGAAGTTATTAACGTGATGGTTACAGCTGATATATCAGCATCCATCCACTTAAATTTGAAATTTTAGTGCTAAGTTTTCTAGCTTGTTATGGACATCCAAGATAAGTAGCTGTAGAATTGATTTAGTTCATTTACACAAAACCCCTCACGGTTTCACATACTAATTTGGCTCTCCTTTGCTAAAAGAATATCCTTGTACCAACTCTCTTAAAACTACTCAGATGTACATAGGTGCAATTTGATTAGATTTGCACAACTGTAAGGAACCAGAACAAGATCTTCTACCAGGCTTGCCATGTTTTCAATGCACACCTTTATACCAGCAGTTCTTTTCATGATGAGTATAAATTATTTATTCACAGACCTTTAAAGGAAAAACAGTTTCACAGATGAAGGGGTCAGCTCTAACACAGTTTACTACCTTTTCCTTATATCATCTTATTCCAATACAGATTTGTGAGCCCATTCCAAGGAAGATTTTTGATCACCAAAGGGATGATTAAAAAAAAACAAAAAAAAAACCCCACAACACCAAAGTTATTCCTATACTTATAAAGTTGGTCTTGATAAGACTGTAGGAATGGGAAGGTCTTGCACTAGCTCTCAGACCAAGTTTGGTATATTCAATACCAAAGCAGCACATTGGAGTTGCATTTAGAAACTCTTGCAGTGTTCACACTCAGCAACAGTCTTATCTAACTACTGTACAAGGACAAAAAAAATACAGGGTGAAGACACTGTCCCTGCTAACTGCACTCCCATCATTTGATAGGAAAACCATCTGTGTCAGTCACCTGACCCTTTGACTTGGGCATCCCTATCCCACAACCTCTGCCTGGATTCTGCAGCCACCTTCCTAAACCAGGGACTGTGGCCTCAGCTGCTACATTAGCCTTCCCCCGCCCATTTCTAAAGTATGGCTGCAACCAAAGCCACCTTACCGCAGCTGAGACTTAAACACCCATAACCAAGAAGAGCAGTTCTGGTTGCTACTATGTCAAACTTCACTATAGCTTCACTTCTATTGCTCTTTGCACAATATTCAGTACATTGAACTACAAAACTCAAATGCTTATTCTTGCATTCAGGACCAAGATGAATTTCATCTTAACATCCCATCTACCTTCTTTTAAATCATCTATTAGAAAGATGGGTTGGGAGGGGGTTGTTGTTGTTTTGTGGGTTTGGGTTTTTTTTGAACAGAAATCAACTTATAGGCCTAAAGCTCCCTGGAAAGAGCCGCCATTTCTAAAGTTCCTATGCTGAATAACAGTTGCTTCTGGGTCTCAAACTTACAACTGTAAGAATCAAAAACATGAATGGATGTGGTTCTCTGTTTACACAGAAATAAAC